CTGCTTCCAGAATTACAAGTCATTGCCATTGCCATCATCCCCATATGAACAATGGCGCGTGTTTGCTCAGCTCTCCAGAACTTAGCCAGGACTAATCCATCCATCAGCTCATCTGAGCCTCATGGCAGCCATGGGAAGGTATTTCACAGACACAGGCACTGAGGATCAGAAAGGGCAAGTAACCAGCCTCGGGTTACCCAGCGAGGCCTCAGGGGGGGTTTACACTCTCCTGGGAGAGAGAAGCTATGCACATACCAAGTAGAACAGCGGTTCTCAACCTGCGGGTCGCGACCCTTTGGGGGTCGAACGACCCTTTCACAGGGGTCGCCTAAGACCATCGGAAAACACACATATAATTACATATTGTTTTTGTGATTAATCACTATGCTTTAACTATGTTCAATTTGTAACAATGAAATTGGGGGTCACCACAACATGAGGAACTGTATTAAAGGGTCGCGGCATTAGGAAGGTTGAGAACCACTGAAGTAGAAGACGGGGCGAGATGACGGAATTTAGTGCAGTTCTGCCAGGAGGTTTCCTGTCACCTCCATTTTACAGATGGGGAAACTGAGTCTCAGATCTTCTTACAGGGTTAGGATTGAACTATCTGACGGAAAAGCTCATGCTATTTCTGGGGCTTAGGGCTGCCACTTTCAGGGAGGGTGCAGAGCTTCTAGCATGGTATGCATTCTCCCTAGGCTGGAGGGAGAGGCTGGTGGGAAGTGGAGGCAGTTGGGCAAAAGGGCTTCCTGAGGAGGAACCTCCCGGAGGGGTTTAAGGTGTGCAGGGCTGGCTGTGCTGAGCCAAGGTGGTGGGGCTGCGGAGCCAGGCCAGATACCCATCTGCCTGCCAACCTGAGCTTCTCCTCACAGGGTTGGGAAATTTCCTGGGTTCTGACCCAAGAGGTGTGCCAACGAAGAGGGGGAAGTCCTGAACTATTGGCAGGATGTGGTCTGCTTCTCGTCCACCACAGAGCGAAATTGAAACCTAAGGACAGACAGTCACGACACGTACAGCAGAGCCTGCCTCTCCTCAGCCCTCAGTCTCCCAATCTCACAAAGGGAAGGGTTGAATTAAATGAACTTGAAGTTCCTTCCAGCTCTGACCTCCTGAGTGTCTTGTATCCATCTTTGCTGTCCTTGCCTCAGATCCCAACCTCTGCTGAACGTGTACCTGACATGTAGCCCTGGGCAAGTCACATGGCGTCTCTGAGTGTCAGAGTCCTCAATAGTGAAATAACTACGACGTTGCCTTCCTTGGACGGATTTAAAGAGCCATGCAGGGGGGCACGTCTACACAGCTTGGGTTCTGACCCCCAGGCAGCACCTGGGGGTGGGGAAGGCTGAGGCTCTGGCTGAGGCTCTGGCTGAGGCTCTCACTCGTCTGCTCAGACAAGGGCTCATTTATAGATATCCGCTCCCTGGCTGCCAGGCCAGGGGGAAGTGGGAGCGAAGGTGCTGAGCGGGCAGTTTGGAACCTTTTCGGGAAGGAGCCTCTGGCCACTCTTCCTCCTGCCCCCACCCCCATCTTCTGGGCATCCTCGCAGCGATTCTCATAACAGTTCAGAAGGTCGGCATCTTGACTTCACAATCTCCATTAAACAGAGGCGAAGACCGAGACTTCGAGAGGAGAAAGGACTTGCTCAAAGTGCCACTGCAAGGCAGTGACAGAGCTGGGACCAGAATTGAGGTCTTGAGCCTGGAGCCCAGGATTCTTCCCTTGTACCCAAGCTTAGCGAGTTCTAGAAAATGAAGTCTCCTATTATGCCTGGTTTGCAAAAAAAAAAAAACCACCAAAAAAAACAACACATTTTCCTACATGGGTTGATGCAAAGAGGGGAAGGGCTTGGGTTCTGCAAACACACTGAGGTTTTATAAACAGCGGCAGGCTTGGCACGAGGACACGGGACTGTGCGAATGTCATGGGGCCCTGGAGGCTGCAAACTGTGCCAGGCTTTGCCAACAGCACAGGACTCAAAAAGGCAGCAAGTTTGCAAACCGGGGAATTCGCAGGTGGTGTTGCAATCCGCACGTGTCGTGGGGCTCTGTGAAGTTGCACAGGGCTCAGCAAACACCACATTGGCAAATGGCAAAGCTGGAGTGCAAACACGTTGGTCAGACCTCAGCCTGGGCCTCCCACAGTGGGGCCTCAATGCAGGATTAGCCCAAAGCTATTTGAGGGCTTGTCAGCATAACTCCCAGAGGCCCCGGGTACCTGACCCTTGCTCCAAGTCCACAAGTGAGTTCAGGATTACTCTTGGACCAGGCTGTGTCAGCATGGGGAGGCTGAGGTGATAAATGAAGACTGTTCCTGCGTCTTCCATGCCCCGTGGGGTGCTATGCATTGAGGTGAACTTTATCAGGCAAGTTAGTCCCGTTGTAGGAGGGAATGGCACCATGTGTCTGACTGGTGGGGCTCAGACCAAACCTGGGTTCCGCAACCTCATTACTTGGGTTCGGGCTAGGAAAGAATTCAAAGTCCGGACACAAACTGTAAGAGAACATTTACTGGGTAAATCACAGAGATAGAGAAAGTAATTCCTAGAAGAAATGAGCTTAGCAAACAAGTTCTGAAGGTAAAAGAAGGGCCCTTGGAGCTTGGGAGTGAGGAAGCTAATGGTAACTCTCCTGGGGAGGGGGCGGGGAAAAGGAAAGGTAAAGGGAAGGAAAAGGCTCAAGCATGCTCCCTGGAGGGAGAGCGCACTGGTCCTCATTCCTAAGGGTTTAAGGCTGGAGAGTTAGGGGAGGTCCCAGGGGAAAATCTTAACACATCGTGGACCAGTAGTTTTATTGCTAGCTTTACCCAGTGGCCAGATAAGTTTCTATTGAACGAGTACAAAACACATTTTACATAAATGTTAAAGGCACGCTTTAAAAGTAAATACCCATTGCATTTTGAAGTTATTTATTACATGTTCTTACAAGCTAATATCTTTTTAAAGTATGATACTTTGTAAAACACTGTGTAATATGAAGCGAGAATTCTCGTGATCCGTCCGCAATGTTAATAGAATATTCAGTAGTTTCCCAGGTGTGTCCTTTCGGGGTTGTGGTCTCCACTGATTGATCGGTCAGCGCCAGGGGAGGGGGTCATTATTCAATGCAGCTGGTCCTGAGGGCAGCCATAGAGTCGCTGGTCTGGTTTTATTGGTTATCTGCGCGTAGAGCTGAAATACAACTGAGGCATAGTTTTCCTCTCTAGGGAGGAAAGGTCAGGGGGTCTAAACCTCATGACCAGAGATATGCTGGGGGAGGAAAAGTCACCCTAGGGTGTAGGGGGGTGAGGTCTCCCCCTACAATTGATTGTCCATTGTTAGGCACCTGGGGCTTCCCGTCCTGGTGACCTTC